CCGACCGCAACGTACAATAATTAGGAAAAATACAATTTTGTACAAAGTTGGGAATTACAGTAGAAAATAGGGTGTAAAAATGTTATGTTTAAATTACAATAGCTTTGAAACAGAAAACAGTGTGGCAATGAATGATACATCGAACGAAAGCTTATGTTCTGTAGAATAGATTAGGGACAAAAATAAATGTCAGTGTTTTACAGGTTATGAATAAAATGAAATAACGTCCCGAAAAATAGCATTCGTAGTTTGTCAGGGCTTCTTGTTTTCCGGTTCATATCACGCAGTCATGTAGAAATTATTGCCTTACCGAATCGATTCGACTAGATGAAGAAGAAAAGGAAACAACGACAGTAGTAGCTAATGCTATTGGCTTAAATCCTACCTTAAATCCTTAGGCTAAGACTCCAGTCGTCAATACACACAGAGAGACGACAACCATTGTCCAAATCATTTGTAAGCGTAACCATAATCAGTCTCGAAACGTCGTGACAAGGAAGCCAGCGCTCTTTGAAAGTGCACTTATTCTAAACACGGATGAAGTGAGTGTAATTATACAATGTGCGGAGAGTGAAACTATCTCACAAGGAAATTCGGATACTATAAATCAACAGATTCGTCCGAAATTCATAACCAAAAATACAACTTTATAAAATATTTCAGTCGTTAACGGGAAGAAAATGACAACACAAACGAAAGCAGTGAGGAGATACTTCAGAGGTACATGCCACTACAGCAGTAAAACTTGGTAAGTGGGTTGGAGGTGAGACCCAACAAAAAATGATTTCAATTGGATAGAGCCTACTACGCAAAGTGGATATTTTGACGGTAGTCTGTTGTCAGCCACTATCCGGTATTCACTCGTGCAATGTGTCGCAAAGCCGACACACATAGACTTGGAACATGAATCGTGATTACTAGTTCTTGTCTTCGCAGCATTATTGGTTCTCAAAGACACAATCCTTGAAGCTGAACATACAATGATTGGTAAGATTTACATTTAACATTTGCCATAGTAGAGAAACTCAGAAATGTTGAACGTACAAACGCTCAATCAGTATAGTTCGACTCATCCATGTAAATGTAGTCACTCTATGTAAACACCTGTTTTTGAGATTAAACATATTATTCTCTTACTAGCCCAATATGTATTTTTCAGAAGTCATAAACAGCACATTACTGACTGTCACGATAGGATAAACTAGCATGGATGATGGTGTGACTTCCACCTAAGGTCTGATAGACTAGGTACTCTTATTATAACGATATCTTTCAGTTTATCATTGCCTGAAAGATTTTGATCATTCTTTTAATGACCTCCGGCGCGTGGATTTGTTATTAAACCAGCGTTATTTTGATTCTGATGGAAGAGTAGTGTAATGGAATTGGTGCCTAACCAAACTGTCATTCAGCCGTAAATAAGATACCTGAGAAAATCGACATTCAATATTTAACGCGGAAAAAAGTCAAAACGTGGTGAACGTGGAGAGAATTGATCGGTATGGTATACCACGGTCATCCAGGTGTGGTCACTCTACGTAAACCCCCACTCTTCTTATTGAACATACTACTATCTTCCCAGTCCAAATGTGTTCTTCATAAGTTCTAGACGTTATCTTGCTGATTGTCATGATACGAAGAGTTAGCGTAGACTGTGATTTGACTTCCACGTAAGATCTTGTAGATTAGGTTGTCCCATCATGGCATGTCTACAATTTTAGGATTAGGTCTATTATTATTTTTGTCCACAAACAGCTTATCGGTACATAAGTACCATGAAGAAACTGTTTTGCGTTTCTTCAGAAACACAGTGATACACAAGTTTCAATAACGTTAGCATAATATTTGCCATGTCTAAACAGGTTTTGTGGAATCTAGAAGAACATTGAGTTGACTTTAAAGAAAGAAAAGAAAAAATCAGAAAATACGTGAAATATGTAAACAACTTAAGCGTATTCGCGAAAGGATAAATAGAATAAACGATGGTGTATATATTGCCAAACGAACGAAGAAAGAGATAGACAAATAAACAATAACAAGTTTTTTCTTAATTATTTTCTGTTTTATTTTTTTTACTAATTTGACGACACATACATAGTCGTTTAATCTTGTTCTGTGTTCATAAACACGCTTATAAAACTATTTTCTTATCTCACGTCTTCTTCATTTCTATTTCCTTATTTTTTCCTTTCCTTTTTTAGACTCAGTTCAATATTCTTCTCAATTACACATAACCTGATTTATTATTATTCTATTATCACTAATAAATTGGTCATAGGCGGTACAACATTTCCACACAAACGTATACACAAAGCTACGTGGATCGCACCGGACCACACCACAGAGAACCAGATAGATCACATTTGCATCAATAAAAAGTTCCGAAGGACAATGGAAGATGTGAAAACCAGGAGAGGAGCGGACATAGCTTCAGATCATCACCTAGTTGTGGCCAAATTGAAACTGAAGCTAAAGAAGAACTGAAAACTGGACAAACAGCATCACAAAGGTTCAATACAGCCTTCCTTCAAAATACTGACAAACTCAATGAATTCAAGGTAGCTCTCAACAACAGGTTCCAAGCCTTACAGGATCTACTGAAGGAAGAAGAAACTACTATGGAGGATAGCTGGAAAGGTATCAAAGAAACATTAACTTCAACGTGTCAAGAGGTTCTGGGCCCCAAGAAGCATCATCACAAGGAATGGATCTCTACAGAAACATTGGACAGGATCAAAGAAAGAAAGAACAAGAAGACAGCAATTAACAACAGTCGAACAAGAGCAGAGAAAGTCCAAGCACAAGCAGAGTACATAGAAGCAAATAAGAAAGTGAAGAAGAGCATTAGAGCTGATAAGCAAAAATACGTGGAAGAACTAGCAACGACGGCGGAAAAAGCTGCAAGAGAAGGAAATATGAGACAGCTTTACGATACGACGAAGAAGCTTGCAGGGAAATACAGTAAACCAGAGAGACCAGTCGAAGACAAAGAAGGAAGACCAATCACTGAGATTCAACAACAGCGCAACAGATGGGCAGAGTACTTCGAGAAACTCCTGAACAGACCGGCTCCAATGAATCCACCGGACATCGAAGCAGCACACACAGATCTTCCTATAAATGTCAATCCACCAACGACAGAAGAAATCAGAATGACCATCAGACAAATCAAGAGCGGGAAAGCAGCAGGGCCTGACAATATACCAGCTGAAGCGTTGAAGTCAGACATCGAAGTAACTACAAGCATGCTTCATCTTCTATTCAAGAAGATTTGGGAGGAGGAACAAGTGCCGATGGATTGGAAAGAAGGACACCTCATCAAGATTCCAAAGAAAGGAGATCTGAGCAAGTGTGAAAACTACAGAGGCATTACACTACTGTCAATACCGGGTAAAGTCTTTACAAGAGTGTTACTGAACAGGATGAAAGACGCAGTTGACGCTCAACTTCGAGATCAACAAGCTGGATTCCGTAAGGACCGGTCGTGCACAGACCAGATTGCGACACTACGGATCATCGTCGAACAATCAATTGAGTGGAACTCGTCACTCTACATCAACTTCATTGATTATGAGAAGGCATTTGACAGTGTAGATAGGAGGACGTTATGGAAACTTCTTCGACACTACGGAGTTCCTGAGAAGATTGTCAACATTATCCGGAACTCATACGACGGACTACAGTGCAAAGTAGTGCATGGAGGACAGCTGACAGAGGCATTCCAAGTAAGGACCGGAGTAAGACAAGGCTGTCTACTCTCTCCCTTCCTCTTTCTTCTGGTGGTCGACTGGATTATGAAGACCTCGACATCTGAGAGAAACTACGGCATACGATGGACAGCTCAGAACCAATTAGACGACTTGGACTTCGCAGATGACCTAGCCCTCCTATCGCATACACACGAACAAATGCAGACAAAGACAGCCAACATAGCAGCAGTCTCTGCATCAGTAGGCCTCAACATACACAAAGGGAAAACCAAGGTCCTCAAACACAACACAGAGAACAGCAGTCCAATCACTCTTGATGGAGAAACTCCGGAAGATGTGGAATCCTTCACATACCTGGGAAGCATCGTCGATAAACAAGGAGGTTCAGATGCAGACGTCAAGGCGAGGATTGGCAAAGCAAGGATAGCATTCCTTCAACTAAAGAACATATGGAACTCAAAACAACTTTCAACCAATATCAAAGTCAGAATCTTCAATACGAACGTCAAGGCAGTCGGTTCTACTGTATGGAGCTGAAACTTGGAGAACTACTACAACCACCATCAAGAAGGTACAGGTATTTATTAATAGCTGTCTACGCATGATACTCAACATCCATTGGCCGGATACCATCAGCAACAGCCTACTGTGGGAGAGAACAAACTAGCTTTTGGTTGGAGAGGAAATAAGAAAACACGATGGAGTTTGTGGATAGGACATACATTGAGGAAATCATCAAACTGCATTACGAGGCAAGCCCTAACTTGGAATTCTGAAGGGTAGCGGAAAAGAGGAAGGCCAAAGAACACATTACGTCGGGAAATAGAAGCAGATATGAAAAAGATGAATAAGAACTGGAAAGAGCTTGAAAGGTTTGCCCAGGACAGGGTTGGATGGAGAATGCTGGTGAGCGGCCTATGCTCCTTCACGAGGAGTAACAGGCGTAAGTAAGTATGTAAGTAAGTACCCTTATCGGCTTCTTCTGATGGGATTCATATTTTGCGACAAATTTCCTTGTTTCCTTAGTATTACTTTCGCACGGCAGAAAAAGTTTAGCGGATGATTCTCACTACATGTCATAAGTTAGCACTTCGGTAGATGTAAACATGTATAAAGAATAAGATTGTAGAAATTTAGGTTAGATAAAGTGCATACAATAAATGAATGTCCACGAAGACAATATGAGATAACACTTAAAGGGTTCTGATTATTTGAGTGAAACTCAATCCTATTGAATTAACCCGAATGCGTTATTTAAGAAATAAATTTAAAGAGTTTACACAAAAAATTTCATTCTTCATCTAACTCTAAAATCGGTGATGCAGTTAAGTGAACAGCTGAAAAGTTATTATTTGTTATACCATCAGCATCGATAGTTTCAGGGTGTTTGGGAACAGTTTCGGCAGTTTTATCGTCACATTTTGAAATAACTTTGGAACTTGATGACTGCGAGTGGTTGGATTCGGAATTTAAAGTAGGTAAGTTCTCAAGATCAGAATCAGAACGAGAATGTACAGGGATATTAGGTTTTGATTCATGAAGAGTGAAGGAATTGTGAAATGTACTGGTGCGAGTAGATTCGGTTGAATTAGGATTGTTTTGTTCCGAAAGCAAGCAACCTGTCGGAGGAAGAGAAAAAGTATAACTGTCAGAGCATGAAGAGTTATTAATTAAAATGCTGGGTAGGAAGCTGTCCAAACATTTCTGACCACTAAGATAGTTATATGGTCAAAGAAACTTACTGGGATTCTTGGCACAATGGTCAACTTCAATCGACGAAGACAATGAACCATTTGAAGATATGTATGTACTAAGTATAGGAGTATTGATATCAACACTCATTTTAGAAGGCGCATTTCTGCCACTGTCCGATTGTTTTGAATTTACACCACTTGCACGATGACGGCGAGCATCACGTTTGCGGAGATTTTTCCTGTGAAACAAATTATCAATAAATAAATTATCATCCTTCACGACGAATGATCTTTTAAAGTACGAACATATTATAAATGTTAGAAATTCCTATCATGAAAACCATCACAATATATATAAATGAACATTATTGCTTTCAATTAGACTGTCATATCGGGCTTTACTTTAATACACAGTAATATTTACCTCCATATATAAAAACTACCAAAACCAATCAAATCAGTTTATGGGTCAATGATAACAATCAAACAGATCACATGACTAAATACAGAGAGCAAGAAGTACGAACTGACAGTAAGATGAAAGACGTACAGAAATGGCAAACCTTTCAGCAAAGGTTTCAATATAGGAAGTGCGTCAGAAAACGAGAGAATAAGCATTACAGTAACGATCATTGAAGTTATGTAAAGTGTGCGGAGGATCTGACAGTGAATACATACAAAAAGGTGTGGGAAAGCGAACAAAGGATGAGGAAAATCAGTAAAACCGTTTGTCTAGTCTTATCCGACCGAGGAAGAGACGAGAATGTTACACATACACTAGTTATAGACTTGACCTAGCCCTCCTATCACATACACACAAACAAATGCGGATAAAGACAGCCAGCCAGCATCGCAGCAGTCTCTGCATCAGTAGGCCTCAACATACACAAAGGGAAAACCAAGGTCCTCAAACACAACACGGAGAACAGCAATCCAATCACTCTTGATGGCGAAACTCCGGAAGATGTGGAATCCTTCACATACCTGGGAAGCATCGTCGATAAACAAGGAGGTTCAGATGCAGACGTAAAAGCGAGGATTGGCAAAGCTAGAGCGGCATTCCTTCAACTAAAGAACATATGGAACTCAAAACAACTTTCAACCAATATCAAAGTCAGAATCTTCAATACGAACGTCAAGGCAGTCGGTTCTACTGTATGGAGCTGAAACTTGGAGAACTACAACAACCACCATCAAGAAGGTACAGGTATTTATTAATAGCTGTCTACGCATGATACTCAACATCCATTGGCCGGATACCATCAGCAACAGCCTACTGTGGGAGAGAACCAACCAGCTTCCAGCGGAAGAGGAAATTAGGAAAAGACGATGGAAATGGATAGAACATACACTGCAGAAATCACCAAACTGCATCACGAGGCAAAACCTAACTTGGAATTCTAAAGGGAAGCGGAAAAGAGGAAGGCCAAAGAACACATTACGTCGGGAAATAGAAGCAGATATGAAAAAGATGAATAAGAACTGGAAAGAGCTTGAAAGGTTTGCCCAGGACAGGGTTGGATGGAGAATGCTGGTGAGCGGCCTATGCTCCTTCACGAGGAGTAACAGGCGTAAGTAAGTAAGTAAGTAAGTATTATCACTAATATCTTCTTTCAAATATGACAAATATAATGCTAACATTATTGAAACTTGTGTATTATTGCATTTTTGAAGAAACCCGAGATGATTTCTTCACAACACTTATGAACCCATAAGATGTTTGTGAATAATAATTATTAATAATAATAACAACAACAATAATAATCTCATCCCAATTTGTTGAGGATATTTTTATTATTTCTCAGGGGTCAGACTGTTTTTTACTTATCTTTTTGTCGTCTAGCTCGTGATAAACAAACTCTTGATTGCATAACACAGACTGTGTCGTTTGAGGTATTTTGTACTTTTGATACGCATTATTCTCTTTCTTAAATTAGAATGGTTTAAACCAACACACAGAGTTTGTGTTTTGATATAATTTAATATGAATCAGTCATAAACGTTTTCTAGGCTTTGCAGAAGAATGTAGTCTGGTCTTACCAAATAAGCTTTGGTCCTTTAGTTACACGTTCAGACCGAATATTGGCGTTTCGGTCGTTACAACCATAGTTGGACATGTAGATTGTAGTAGCATTAGATCCTAACCACAATCCTCAAAGCTGAACTGGGAAAATAGAGCTTCAACTCTAAAAGAAGATCAGTAAAGGTGGACGCGGTAACACATTCATTCGGAATTCAATTCAACGGATCGCATGGCTCTTCCCTGCAAGCGTGGTCATTACTACGTAACATCACTTTTATTCATATTAAATATATTGTTCTACCTCCAGCGTACATGTGTTCTCCATCATATATTGGCGATTGTTGAGATACAATGAGTCACTGCAGACAATGATGTGACTTCCACGTAAGATCTTATGGATTATGCAGTTGCGTCACCTGAAATATTTAATTTTATTTTAAGGTCTATCAGTAGAGCATTACTAATGACGAAGTAGACTATAATTCTACAGGCTGGCAAGCCGAGTTTCACTGTGAATCACCACAGCTGGACGCTCACGAAGAATTAGCTGTCCTACTCAAATGATTTGGAATCGTGATTTTTTCATTGCTAGATATGCAATGGGTAGAATAGTGATCAGCAGTGAATTCCAAACGCATTCGATAAACCATTTTGAATTAAGTGTCATGCCATGAGATTTTAGCTTTTAATAAAGTGGTTTGCTGACATTTTCTAGACTGGATTGACTCACTCCTTCATTTTACAGAATTGTGAGTTCAAATTACTCCCTTGAAGTAATGAAATAAAAGTTACGATCAGGCCTCACCTTAGCTAACTAACTGATAATTAGTCACACTTTGGCTGAAGAAACGTGTCTTAGATTTCTATATAATTGTATGGCAGATCCCAGTCTTCTTTCACGTTTTCTGATTCCTTTGGAGAAGTGCCAGCTTTATTGCATCAAGATTCAGGGATGACCAGCAACTTTTATAATGACTTCAGTGTTACCTAGGGTAATAAAGATTGATAAAACAAGGGAAGATACCTGTGGATTCTTTTAGTATGTTTAAAGTTTACTCGTATTTGGTCAGATCACTCCGAACAAAATATTGAGTGGGCAATGTTGAGGGCGGATACATTTATGAACGTTTTTTTCCTTTATCCAGGGACTCAACGAACCAATATGGAACGGCCTTCATCGTTAGAGTAAGGACACTTAACCTTATGGATTGACAGCCCAACGAACCAAAGACTGTTTAATGTAATCGCAAGACTGATTTTAGTAACACGTTAGTTTGGAAATGATTTGCCTGCAGACAGATGGAAATATGCCGATCACTTATTAGTTTCATTAGCGTGAATTTTGCATTATTGGTAGCTAGTATTCTTATCCAGCCGGCAGAAGGAATAAGACAGTTTCGTTACCATTATACAGACTTGATGATTCAGGTTTCAAGTCACCATCCGCTTTAGAATGCAAAGTGGTAAGAAGGCAGTGTCAACTAGGATTATTGGTCACAGTTATAGAGGTTGGCTGTGGTTCGATATCGTACCAAGTTCTGTATAGACTTACAAAGCTCCAGAAGTATTCACTAACATTCTTGCACTATTGGTACCAAACGGATCATTGGAAGGGCTCCTTTAGCAATGAGACTAGAAAATAAAGTACTAAAGGCCTGTTAAGGTAAGTAATAGACAGAAAGATCACTATATATTAGAAAAAACCAACTTTTTTATTCAGACGCCCTAATCTCTGGTGATATTTGGACGTAAGAAGTATTTCTTCAAAAGGGTTAGGGTTCAGTGTTATTATGAGAAAAATGACTTAGAACCCGCCAACTTTTAGCTACATTAGACTGCATCAGGCCTAGTACAGCTCAGAAAACATCCTCTTTAGTCACATCGGATGTTGCGAAAGCCGGTCTCAATCGGTAAGAGCAGAAAAAATTCACAACAAAACACACTTTGGTGCGGTTGACACTGATGAGCTAGTCACGTTACGAAACACAAAGACTATGGTCCCGTTAATGAGACATACTATACAGGAAGAAAATCTAATGTGGCCAGTTCGCACGAAATTGACCAGCACACATTAAACAACAACCTGCTTAAAACCCATAAGATGGATTTCATTGTAGGGGAGCACTCTGTGGCATGGCGAACCGTCAACAGCTTCTAAGAGGACTAGTAGTTAAAACTGGAGAAATCAGAAACATGTGTTTTCAGCTAAATCCAAATATCAGAGACCTAAATGATACTAGGCTATCGTCCGACATCATGAATGAAGACTTGAAATGACACCCGAAAATTGAGATAACACAGGAGATACTGAAGCAACGATATTTGAGGTTCGACCAATTACTGCTAGCTGGAGATTTTCACACTACGTCCCCAAATCTTAACATGCAGGGTGCAACTTCTAAGAAGTGGTTCCATAAGCGGCTTGCCGCAGCCAGAGAGCACCATGTTATGGTATTTTTGTTAAGAGTTGAACCCATCTGGAATACTCTCTCAGACGAAGTTAACTCAACCTCATCAGTGAGTACCATTAGGAGGAGACTTGACAAACACGTACTCACCAGTGGATTACCGTCCCCTTCTTAGACCAGCTATGTCTAATATGTGTCTCATAAATTACAGCAGTTATGATTGCGGATATCAGTAGGTACTTCCTATATCTGTGATTATCATACCGTTTATCTTCTTATTCTTTCAACTTCATCTTCTCACACAATACTAAGTACTGACTTATTCTTGATTCTTAAGACAATCGTATTCCCTTAGCATTTATAATGACTTTCGATCACCAATGGTCTATGGGATTTAAGATTTTGTCTCAATACGTCAAACAGACACGAGACAATGAGTCGTCTGTTTTAAACCAATTTTTCAAATTTCTCACGCCATGCAGGTTGGTTGTTTGCACTTTCCAGAACTTTGATTACCGTATTTGTTGATTTACAGCAACAATCAGGACAACACTTACTGCTTAATGAAGAAGAAGTGAGTTCTTTCCATCCCTCAAAACTGGTTGCTGAACAACGACGTTTTTGTTTATCACGATGACGTGACTTTCGACGATATTTTTGGTAGTGTCGATTGTGATAGTCGCTTCACATTGAGGAAAGGCACGGTACATCATCGTTGTAGTGAGTTGTAATCACTTTCATTCAATTGGTTTTAGATGACTACCATATAGCCGAGGAAATGAAAGTCTGTTTAAACGCAGTACTCGGTTATAATAAGAAAAGTACAACTGATGATGAAACGCTACCGTGAGAAACGGAAAAGCCAAAAAGGTGATTTGTTCATCATACTAAATCCCCTTTTTAGGGCTTCCAAACGGAAATTTAACAATTATTTATGCACCTCTGAAGAACTAGAGGTTGCTGAGGTTGAAACTGGATTCGCCCCGGTCGATTTTCCAGTTGTCAACATTTTGACAGGAAAATTTTATTCGATAGCGAAGAATGTATCCATTGAATAAATGCTAATAAAGTAGTTCGTCAAAAACAGAGGTTTTTTCACCATCGCTTCCATGTTCATCAACTTAAGTTAATAAACTGCAAGTTGAATTTCATGTAAACATGATAAGAAAAGGTTGTGCAATGATAACAGTAAAATGCTAAAAATGATTCTGAAAGCAGTCACAGAACTGTTTGGCAAGATGAATAAAATGATTGCTTTCCTAGAACGCTCATTCATGGGTGTAATGGACAGGCGTATCGACGACATAGACACATCAACCATTCCTTTTTCATTAGGAACACATGAGGAGTTGGGTTCTTTGGAAGTTGCTATAGATGACTTAAAGTTCCGTGATCACTTCGTAAGTTGTAACAGGGGTTCTAACAAATTTTAGGTGTCCAGATTTTACGAGTTCATATGTGATGACCCTCGTAAATCAGCCAAAGCTTGTCTACGTTGTGTTGTCTCCGGAACTGTCGAACACGTACACTTTACACGGAACCTAAAGCAAATTCGGTATTATAAATACACATTTTACTGAACGGCTCAAAATAAGTCCACCCTACAGCATTTATATGTTGGTAGTTGTTCTGTGTTTACGATTACGAAGTTCAACCTGTCCGGAAAAAGAAATAGTACATGCCATCGATGTTGCCAGCCAGGCTTTCTTACATGACGCAAGAGATAAAGTAAATAAGCGTGGGTGGTGATCCAAAGAAAGGGTGAGCTAAAAGCACATGACGTGTTTGATATAATACACATTGCACTTTTAATATTACTTTGTGATCATTATTTAAACTGAAACAACATTTTTCTTCTCATTAAAAAAATTATTTCTTGTCCATCTTTCTTTCATCTGGCTTCGCAAGTTTTAACAGACGTAACTGTAAGTTTTTTGAGCATTACTAGGAAGATAGACGTTTCACATATCGTCGTATTTCCTTATAAGCTAAATATTGTTTTTTTGTAGAACATTGTGAATGATTGTTCAACGTTTAAGTGACGTGCTTACGTTACAAAGCAATGAAATAACGTTGTGTTAATAGATGTTTTGTAATTTTATTAACCCTAATAAACATTCCAATGTATCACAAATCAGTCTTTTAATTACGGCGATAAATCGATCCACGTTGATCTTCTTTGGCACTGCGTAATTGACCACCAATAATGGAATATCGCAGTAAGAACTGTTAGTTTGTATTCTTGCCTGGCTTTTCCGTGATATCTGTACAAAACTTGATAGGTATTGCGCATTAATGAGTGTGCAAAATGTGTACTAAAAATATGGTTAAATTGAGGAGAAAAGCTCAGAAATCGAGAAATTTTAAGGAAAAACCCCAAAGTCAGGAAAAAGTTTGGGGAAAAACGCAAAATTTCCCCAAAATTTTTCACAATTTTGGGGTTTTATTAAGAAACATAAGCCGATTTCCTCAAAGTGTTATAAGATTTTGGGGAAATTTCGGAGTTTTTTGCCATTTCCCCGAAATTTCCCATGAGTTTACAATCGCGGCTTCCCCAAAACGGGTCAAATTTTCCTCAAAATTGGGTTTTCCCATTGCAACCATCTAAACTCCTGTTTGGTAATGCGATAACTAATGGTACCCAGGGACCTTGCTATCCCAAGAAAGCGCATTCCCTAAAACCACGTGATATATAAATCCACAAATGACTACTAGAGTGACTAGGACTAATGCAGTCGAGTGGCTTAACCACCACCTTTTGAAAATTACCGAATACATGAACTCCACTAAAACAACAGGAAGCAGACCTTCCAAAAATAAGTCGGATTATACAGGCATGTTACAAAGATATTGGTAATGAGCAATTTAGATCTTTTAATGCACTGTCATTTTTGTTTTGTCAGATGTTGTAAATACCTCGTGTTTCGTAACGCAGGAACATTGACGATTTTTTTCGACGTTAGATGGATTATGTGTATATTCTAGCACCTATTGGGCTTGGCGTTATTTTAACTTTGTGCAGCACTGGATATTGCATTTATATTCATTACTCTAAACGCAGGCTCGCTGAGCGCATCAAAAAGGAGATGCTTGCAAAAATAATTAATGGTCCAGATGCTATTGTTTCCAACACTCACTGGTGTAGTAATATAGGAACGGGCAAAACAAAGTCTGTTGTGAGTTGCCCTAAACCTCTAGGTCATGTAGTCAGTATTGGAGGATCCCAAGTAGACATATACTCTCATCCCATACAATCGCGGACTGATGTGTTTGTCCAAAAAGTTGGAAGTGAGGTGTTTAGTTCATTGACCAATGAAAGGTGAGTCAATATATTGTATGATACAAATGAATTCAAACGATAAAATTAATTTTTCCGTTTTGATCAATATTTTGAAGTTTGTGTGATAGAAACGGTTGATAGCATTGAAAAACGTGCAAGTTAGCCTTTTTGACGTGTGCATGTCAGAGATACCTGACCCTCATAAATTTTCTGCTTAGAATAAATTTTGAACTTTTTTACAGAAGGCACACATCTAGATTATATATGCTTTTGTTCTTATCGAATTGAAACTTAAATGCACGTTGTTGAAATATTATCGACTTTTGCATCTCTAACTAGGAATACATTGGTAAGTTGGATTTCACCAGTCTACCTGAATTGCTTTATAAATTTCTTTATCGCCGGAAAAATACTGACTGTCGAATGAATGCAGGCTGATTTTTATTTGTCAGAGAAGGCTAATAGTAAGTAAATATCACTGTGTTAAATGCCTTATTCAGAGCGACGTGATGGTAAAAACCTAGAGAAAATAAGATCTGATGTGATAAAAACTTGATGTATCACTGCTTCAATACGACTATTACTCAGATTCTTTTGCTTATGCATGGTGACTAGTTGTGTTAAATTGAGTGAATGATCAACCAGACAATTATATTTAGTATTACTTTAACAGGAAAGTTCGAGAATCACATATATACTAGATCAAATTTTCTAAGTATTACGCTTTCTTTTAGCTTATTTTTAGTGTAAAAATTTTAACACTTGTTATTGAGTATAAGAGGCACTTTTATGTAAATTTATCTGTTGATTGCTGAAGTATGGGAGATATGTTTTCGACGAATGTGAACACAGTATTGCAGATCGCGTTGATGGATGTTTTTGTTCATCAT